CAAACTATCATTGGGGAATGGAGGTTTCTGAAACACATAGAGATACATTAAGAGAAGATATGTTTGGTGTATGCATAATTTGGTCAGATGTACATCATGCAGATTGGAATCAACAAACTATGCGCCATGTAATATTGGCAATGGTCGAATATCAACTTAATCTGAATGAAACGGATATAATCGGAAGCATGCTAACACGTATTAACGAGCTTGATATAGCTATCAATGTTATTAAAACCGCCACGGTGCAACAAAGGCTCAGTTTAATTGTGTCAAACTATCATTGGGGAATGGAGGTTTCTGAAACACATAGAGATACATTAAGAGAAGATATGTTTGGTGTATGCATAATTTGGTCAGATGTACATCATGCAGATTGGAATCAACAAACTATGCGCCAGGTGAACCAATATAAAGAAACTGTGGAAAAGCTTTATGTAGCTTATTTCGATAGTTTAAGAAAGGAACTTGTTGAGCCTATTATACAGCGTTTAGTGATTATAATTTTAATCGATATTTTTTATAGCTTGTTTGATTTGAAGCGTTAATTTAATACACAGTGTATTCGTCAAAATTGAAAATTTCTTAGTAGGGAACATCGAGGCACGAATCTCGATTAAGTAGTTCTAATTGTTATGATTAGTTAGCCAGTAACATAATTAACATTTTGAATTGACTAAACTTGGCGAATCAATTAAACTAGCTTGCTAAATTCACGTTTAGCTATCGCCGACATCCTCATTTTGTCATTGAAATTTAGTTGTATAAAATGTTATACTATTATTTTGTGTACATATATTGGTAATTATTACTAAAATTACCTTTTGTTTACTGGCATAAAGCAGTCTCATACAATTACACAAATCAACTTATGTACAATCCATAAAACTTATGCTATATCAATGACAAAATGATGATGTCAGCGATAGTTAAACATAAATTAAGCAAGCTAGTTTACTTTATTCGCCAAGTTTAGTCAATTCAAAATGTTAATTGTGTTAATGGCTAACTAATCATAACAATTAGAACCACTTAATCGAGATTCGTGCCTCGATGTTCCCTACTAAGAAATTTTCAATTTTGACGAATACACTGTGTATTAAATTAACGCTTCAAATCAAACAAGCTACTTAGCATCTATTTATCATCGCAATGTTTTAACATTAGACCGATATCAGTAATACATGCAACTAATTTAATGGTCAACAATGATAAATAAATGATAATAATTTTCAGTTTAGACGAATACACCGTGTATATAAAATTAAGGCATTAGATCAAGCAAGATATTCAATGAGTCAACTATTACCATAATTTGAACTCTGTAAATTTACATTATGCTAAAGAACCGTCACTTATTTGGGTATTTTATAGGGAATGTAGGAGTGATTAACAATATATATTTGGTTCTAGATTTTTGTTTGATAATTTCTGACCACATCGACACCAAAATATTCTGGATAGCATGCACAGTTTTGTAAAAAAATCATTATTTCCAAGTGTTAGCTATTAAACTTAAATATTGAAATAAATTTCAGCCCCACGTGACACATTCAATGGGAAATGTGGGTATAGTTGAGTATTAAAAATTGATTTTTAAAAAATTATATATATTGTTTGAATTCTTATCATAGTTAAAATGATAAAAATTAATTTTCATTAATGAAAATTACAATTTTCTTTTTGTGTTGTCTGGTATGCATTACGCAATGAAAGTAGTATTTAATTTTAATAAACTTTTTAACTCTACTTTCGTTTAAATTAAAATTTTATTATTTATATTTACACTAAAAATACGTTACATTCAAATGTATGATTTTACAACATAGTCTTATAATGTTAGTTAAAATTTTGGAACTTATTTAAATTTAAATTAATCAATTTTTAATTTCGATGACAATCTAGGTATAATTACTTGCATGCACACGCATACTATACAAACTATCTCAATTAATATAAACGCCATGTTCCACGAGTAGGTATTTGCTATTAGGCTTAGGGGTAGTCCAGTAAATATGCCACCCACTATATGAACAAACATAAATAAAAAATAATTAGCCAAGATCAGTCAATAAAATAATGATTTAACATACCTTTAGCCGCGAGATTAACTAGTGATGAGCAAAGGCCGGCCCTTTTGGGGCTAATCTCAGTGGCGATAACCGATAGGTTGACCACATTTCCGGACGTATTAATGCCTATTAATAGGGCAGTGATCGCCAGCACAGGTAGACTCGTATTATGTCTGATATGAAAGCAATACAAATGTAGGGCCAACGCGTTGAAGGATAACATAGCTATAGACACCGGTAGGCGGGCCATGAGTTTCAGTGTCGACTGGTCCGCCCCCGAGTGAGCACCGGTAGCCGCGAGCCTACGCTTAAGTAACATATCGCTGATACGACCGGCAATTAATTTACCACAAATACCGCCAATTTCCACCAAGCTAATAAACATACTACTCATATACACATCCAGGTGCTGCTCGGACACCAGATATATCTGAGACCAATCGCTGACACCCTGGCGACTGACAGCTACTACGAACCTGCTTATGATACACATCCACAGCAAAGGATATTGGAGTATGTCTATGACCCGGGTATTATCATTTTGTTTATCATTGCCGTTATTTTGCTGCTTATTTGTGTCAACACCTGAAGCGTCCTTCGCAGGGGTTTCCAGTAATACTAGGCATAGGGTGGCGACCATAAGGGTCAGTACGCCACTGATGATCACTGAAGTGCGCCAGTAGTACGTCTGGGACAGGTATGCCGTGATGAACGGGTTGGACACACCGGCAAAGTTTACGCTGATTAGTACGACTGACCAGTTGGTGGCGAACCGCACGGGACTACTGTTCTCTTTGGTGAGTTTCAGTAGGGATGGCAACGAGAACCCCTGTCCCAAGCCGTTCAAGAACCAGTAGATGGAGTATTGGGTGACTGTAGTACCGGTGCTGAATAGGAGTGTGGATACGCCGCATACGATGAGACCGAAGCATACCATGTGTTTGGCGGCTAACCGGTCCGATAATATGCCGGCCGTGAATGTGATGATTGCCATGGCTATGCTCTGGGAACTGACTATTGTGCCTGGTCATCAAAAATTAAAAATTAAATTTATTTTTAAAATATTTAATTCTTATTGTATACACAATTTATTATTTTATAATTTAATATTTTTTATTGTATAATTTTTAAAATTGTGATTAATAATAACATGCTTATTTATATATGAAATAATTGTATCAAATATGAATAATGATTGAATAATGAGCAATCTATTTATATATTAAATAAAAAACTGTAATATCAAAATTAAATTAATTAACACATAAAAATATATAGTTTACACATAATATACTGTATGGTTTCCGAGCACAAGGATTTATTTTTGACAAATTATTTAGAATTTATCTAAAACTTATTTTGAGCTAGTTTAATTTATTTTTTAATAATACAATAGTTTTTTATGCAATAGGGTAATAGTTGTTAATAATACATTAATTTATAATTATATATACCGGCATTTTGTTGAGTGAGTCCCTCCTGGATGAGTTGCGGGAACACCAGGGTCACACACTTTCTATTATAATAAAACATGAAATACGCCACGAATGCCAACCACAAGGTCTTCATTTCGCTATTTTTGCCCATTTTTTAGCTATTTTTTGGTCACTTTTCTATTGTATGTAAAATTCTGTGACTTTTGTATTCGTGTCGTAAACACAACGACATGTGAGAGACAACTGATTTTCACAGAAAAATAATACATTTTTGAGTACTTTTAGTGATTGCTTAGAGAGTGAGTGAGTGAGTGTGAGAGAGAGAGAGAGAGAGAGAGAGAGAGCTCTAATATCTCATAACGACTTCATATCTCATTTCAAACTATCTTTTTATTACAAAACAATTGAAGAAAAGTTTGTATTACTTTACGATTTCTCTACCAGTTTGTCGATATCATTAAAAATGGTATAGTAAAGGTACCAAGGTAACCATGGGTAATCATGATTTTACTATAAATGAAATTACATACATAATTTTTAAAAATATTATACAAAACGATAATAGTATATAAAGACTTGTTATTTTATATACTATTTATTTTTAAAAATAATTAATATACAATATTTGGTATAAATTATATTTTATAAATACCTTGGTTATAATGTATATTGGAGTTATAGTAAGGTATCTATCATATAGACGTCAATTAGGCGATTGTATGCGAAAATCGCATTAAAAATATAACATTATTTCAAAATCAATATCTCGTGTAAACTAAATAAAGTACTAATTGTGTGAGCACTGGGAGGTTAGGTAGGGTTCACTACATTATATCCATATGATGTACACACAACCACTTGTATGTATATAATTCATTATTTTATTGTTGAAAATATGTGTTTATTATAAATTATGTTTTTATATTTCATGGCAATTCATATCATATTTTAGACTGCATTTTGCACTCATTATCTAATCTATCAAAACAAATAATAGAAAATATTTTATCGCATATTTTATATGCATTTATCGTATTTAGTGTTTAGTTTGAGTACTTTTGCCTTCAACATAATAAACTGTAAAATATTTGATATACCAAACATTACCAAACTCTAAAAATATATTGGATTTTACAAGATTTATTGTAACAAAAATACAATTATTCTTTGCTATTCCAAATATAATGTAGTATACTACAGTATATAGTATATATACTGTATATAGTATATATACTGTATATAGTATATATACTGTATATAGTATATATAGTATATATATATACTATATACTGTAAAAAGACTCCAGGTTTTATTGATAAAGTTTTAAAAATAATAAATACTTGTGTCATAAAATACCTTATATTATATATTAATGATTAAACCCTTTTGTAAACTACAATCGATCTTACTTTAACAAACTTTCGAAAATATAACATTGAATTGTTCTGAATTTATTTCCTGGTGACCCCTACCTCCGGGTCAAATCTCAAACTTGAGTCTGAAGTTGGACTTCGATTCCTGGAGACTCGCGGCCAAAACTGGAGGTTTGGTAATCCTAATTATAATCTGAATTGCTATTGCCATTAAACCCATAAGTGCCAATGCTACTTCAAATCCCTTAAATATAATAAATATTTTAAAAATACATTTTAATTATGCTCATTAGGTTTATAAATTTAATACATACATCGTTTATGGTGCAAAGGTTAGTGATAATGTTAGCGGTTTGCAATAAAAGTACCAAAATAAACTCTATTAGCATCTAGAAAAATTTTAAAATTTTATAAATATTATATTTGTACAATATTAATTAAATTCGGCATACAATGAAAGGATTAGTCGTGATACACTTGACACCATAAATTAAAATCGTAGCGCACCCGGATAGAATAGCCATCACCCCGCCACTTTTATGGTCATTGGCTCCATTCAAATGCACCGAGGCTACAATTATCATTATACCCTAAAACCTAATATCTGTAAATAGATTTTTTAAAACATATACTAAAATTAAGTATGTTTTTTGTAAATTTTTTATTTATTCATACAGGCCATATAACGTTAGATACAAATCCGATTTTGTCCTTGGTAGATTTCTCCGAACCGGCATTAATACAAACCTTTACAAATGATTGACCAGCCATTACAAACAACGTACTATTTTAATAAACTGTACTGCATATAAAGTATCAATAAACATGGCTATTTATCATATTTGCAAAATAAAATATATTGATTATTAAGCTTTTATATCTTATATTGTCATGGCACGAAATTCTTTATTCATGTGATATGTATTAATACTACCATGCACACGAAGTTATTTATCATATTATATTTAATACAATATAAGTAATTGTTATATAAATTTTATAATTTATTTTTAATAATGATAGTGAATGATAGCTTGATGATTAAATTTGATTTACTTTTGCTCATCATAATTTTGTCATAAATAAATTTCGGGATAATATTCGGTAAACAACGCTAACATATTAATGAAATAAAACTGATATTGCGGGGATTGGATGTTGATACTGAAATTTCAATTTATTTATTTAAATTTACTAATTAGTATGAATTTTAATATTATCATTGAAATAATAGTGAAATATATCCAGCAAATGTACATTAAAAATAAAAAAATTGTAAAGGATGATTTTGGTGTTTAAACAAGCTATTAATTTTTTGTATTTTAAAAAATATCTACCCTACTACTACTGTACTTATATGGCCAACTTAAATAAATTATTTTGGTAGCACTTTTTTTCAACCCAACAAACAACATAATAATATCAATTTAACTATTAACAATATTGTTTCATGGTATAATACTGTAACTAGTTTAATTTTATAATTTATTACATCCATATTGTTTAATTTTATCATTAAATATTAATAATGTAAAATTTAATTTTATTTATATAAATGTAAAAATATTTGTAATAAAAGCAAATAATGTATACTATTTATTAAGTAAAATAAATTCAATTTAAAATTTAAATTCAATTAAAACATCGCATATAATAATATTGCTTTAAAAGATTAATAGTTTTTAATTTTTATCATGAACAGATAAAAATAAAGTTTGAATTAAATACAATGCTAAATATAACTTTAATTTAAATGTAAAATGTTAAATTAATTATAATATGCACTCAGGTGTTATGTAGTATGAATAAATGTCAACACAAAATTATTAAAATTTTAATATTAAACATGTTATCAAGGACTTTTGTGCCTGTTGATCATAAAAATAAAATTACTAGGCATTTATTAATTCTTACTAATATTTGTTAATAATTTATTTACTAATGAATGTCAAACAAAATCAACTAGTAACAAGTGTTAAATAATATTTATAAATGACCTTGTTGCATTGTATTTCAACACGCTAGTTCGCAAAATGTGTATATAGTTTAGAACTTTGGGTATAAACTAAATATTATACCGTATAGCAAATAAGCGAGCACATACCATGGTAGATTGTAAAAACACCGAGCTCATTTATCGCCGCGACGATAAAAACGATCAAATACTGGCCTTTGAGATCCGGGGCCTACACGTGGAACGGGTCGACCCTAACCAGTATGTGCCAAACGCCAGGGTACTCATGGAGACCCTGGTCAGTGACATGAAAGGCGCGCCGTATAAGGATTTTCAGGACTTGGTTGGCTTCACGATATTTTGCTTTCCCAATATGAAACACCAGGATGATTTAATGGCACTTCTCATGTGGACGGTGTTCACCTTTCACCTGGATGACTTCCTTGAGAGTCAAACAACTAAACTGCAATATTGGGTGAGGTATGTATGGTATATCTGTTTTAGTTTCATTTATCATATGTATGGCCAATAATCACTTAATGTTTAATATAAATGGTAAGGGTCTAAAATCTTAATTTGTTGAGATTAACTAGAAGGTTTGTAAGTATTTTCTTAAAATCTCCTTGAGTATTAATAGTTATACACTTGTAATAAAATGTGCTTACAATGCATTAACTAGAACTGTTCTTACATATTGCAATTAAAACAGTTTAATTTATAGTCAATAATAATAATATTTAAATTCGATAATCTAGCAAAATATTTTAAATCAACTACTCATACTATACGAATTAGAAGTACAATGCCATAAATGAATGTATTTTAATGCAAAATTATATATAATTTTTATTGTATTAGATATGGAGCACAAATAAAATCTCAATTTCGGCTGTAATTAGACTTTAAAAATTAAAAGTCAATTATTTGATTTATGCATTATATTAATTATATTAAATTGCTACTAGGTACTTATTTTTTATCATAAGAAAAACTAGTTGACCAGCTTTTATTATACTAGTAAATTAATTATATGCATATTTATATTGAACTAAACAAATTGTAACAATAAGGATATGGGAGCAAAAAATAACGGCTGGCCACTCGTTTGGCACCGACTTTTTGGACCTATGCTTTAATGATTTGCGCGCCCGAATGAACAAGGTACTTTCGGAGAAATTGATTCTAATGCACAATTCATGGTACATGAAATATCTGAATTTCCACCTTGATACCGATAAAGTTAAGAATGGTGAACACGTGTTTACGTTCAATGAGTACGATGCACTTAGGTAGGTAATACGTACTATATATATAAAATTATATTAGAGTCACCAAACCAACTATTTGAATAGGTCATTTTTATTTCACACAAAACCTATAGATTCGTCGACATTGGCTTCATCATAATGCAAGTGTTTCTGTACGGACCGTCTAAGTTTGACCCTGATGATTATCCCGAAATTGTCACTGATGACGCGTGGACCGAGTTCAACGTGTGGGCCACGAGACACTATTACTACGTCAACGATTTGTACTCGAGCAAAAAGGAGACCTTGCAGCACCAGGGCAAATGTACCCTGATCTACGTGATCATTTGCGATGACAAATGCGACGCTCAGACTGCGGCGGATAAATTAGTGGCCATGATTGCCGAATCGTGGACCATGGTCAATAAGTACGGCGATAATCTGAGAGTACATAATATACCCTTGCTACATCAATATATAACCGATATAATATGCCTGCTCAAAGGCAATGTATACTGGTCATCGATTACGCCGCGGTATATCAAGTTGTCTATGTATGACAACTACCAGCTCCAAGCGTAATTAACTTTGACAATTTAAATTATAATTTGTAACGGTTAGTTTCCCTCAAATATTTTTTGTATCCAGTAATTATGACCATTAGTAATTATAATGTGTATTGGGCGATACTGTACCTAAATAATGAACAGTCATTTCATGAATAAAATATTTTTATAAAGACTAAAAAACTTAATTTCTTACAAACATAAGGTTGTTAATAATTTAAAACTTATGTTTTATTAATATTTTACGGGCAATGAGATCTGTTTATCCAATAAATCTCAAAAATTGTAATTGTTTATTAATGATAGTATTTTTATGTTAGTTATGAGTATTTTGTTATAATCTTATATTCCAATTAAATAACATAATAATGTTAATTGATTAAATTATTAAATAACATATATAAAGGAAATACAATATTATTAATAATATGATTAATTCATTCACAGACAGGCGTTAGAGCTTGGTCAACTTATTATTAATATTAGTTATACTTTCATATAAACTTATGGAAATAAACACATGAATCAATTTTTATTTTAAATCACTAACGCCTGTCTGTGAATGTATAAATCATATATGGTAAAATATATATTATATAATAGTAATACATTGTTATAACAATTACAGTATAACATTAATATTAATTCATATAATCATTTAATATTAATTACATAAAATTAAATAAATATATACTTTATTTATGTTATAAAAACAATAAATAAAAATTTTAAACGTATTTTTAAAATTAATTATAATAACCATTACATTATACTTAATCGGAATCACTGTTTTCTTTGGGGTCACAACTCTTTTCACCTTGTTCCATTCCAAAAGGATTACATATTGCCAATACACAACTATACAACCAATTGCCAATAATTATCCATGATTTATGCTTAGGCATGGTTATAACAAGTACAATTTGAATTGCTAGTGCCATCAAACCGATTAGTGCCTGGGCTACTTCAAATCCCTTAATCATAATATGTATTTTTAAAAATAAATATTAACTATGCTTATTAAATACATAAATTTAATACATACATCATTTATGGTGCATAAGTTGGTAATAATGTTAGCGGCTTGCAATAAAAATATGAAAATAAATTCTATTAGCATCTAGAAAGATTTTTAAAAGTTATCATTTGTGCCACGTTAATTGAATTCAATGTACATACAATAATAGGGTTTGTATTGATAAATTTAACACCGTAAATCAGAATCGTAGTGCACCCTGATAGAATTGCCATGACCCCGCCACTTTTATGATCAATGGGTCCAGTCAAATGCACCGATGCTATAATGATCATTAAAAATCCTAATATCTGTAAATAAAATTTTAAAAATATAATAACCTTAAACAAATTTATTTTTTATAAAATTCAGAAATAAATATGTTTAATATTATTATGTTTATGGTAAAATAGAAATAATAAATAATTAATTATGATTAATTTAAAGTTGTAATTTTATAATTAAACTAATTTTTAATGATATAACTAGGCGTGTTTAAAATATAATTTAAATTTGTTTATTCATACAGGCCATATAACGATGGATGCAAATCTGATTTTGTCCTTGGTTGATTTGTCGGTAGTTGCGTTAATTGAAACCTTTACAAATGCTTGACCGGCCATTGCGAACAACGTATTTATTTTAATAAATTGTGTTGCATCTATCAATAAGCATGGCGATTTATTATATAATATTTTTAAAACACATTATATTGAGTGTTTGTTAGGCTTTTATATCTTATATTGCCAGGATACTAAATTCTTTATTATTGTGATAAATATTAATACTGTATTACCATACACACAAAGTTATTTATTATATTATCTAACTATATAAGTTATTGTTTTACAGTATAAATATTGCAATTTATTATTTAATAATAATTCAAAGTTTAACAAAAAAAAACATTTGTATAATGTGTTATTTTTAAAATCATGTTTTATGATCAATAAATAACCAGCAAGTTTCATTGTATTGTTAAATTATTAAATTTTGATATTTAAATAACATTTCTAATTAAGCAAGTTACTTACTTTTAGAATTAGAACAATATTATAAGTGCGAAAAGGTGATAAATGTAATTTTTTTATAATACTATACTAATTAATAAGTGTCATATAAGTAACTTTACTAATTTATAAACGATTATGTAATAGATTTTATGTTTTCATAAACGCTTTGTAAGTATAGTTAACAAAAATATTTAATAATGGCATGCATGGAGTTTTCAAATTACAAGCATATTGTATATGCATATTTAAAATATATAATAACTCAACACAATAATTCATTACAATATATAAATATAATTTTGTATTATTACACAAGGATATTTATGTTCTGTGAATTATAATTAATTTTTACATTTTTATTTTACAATATAAATATAAATATAATACAAAATTATATTTATATTGTAATGAATGATTTATAATGTAAAATAAAAATGTAAAGATTATCATTCACATAAAATAAATATCCTTGTGTAATATAGGTGAAACTTTAAACTATAAAACTTTAAAATTTAAAACTTTTAAATAAAATTATTAATAACTAAAGAATAACTTAAATAATTGAGATATTTTATTTTAACACTAATCAATAAAAAATAAAATAAATTATAAATCATCAGGGCAAAATATAAACCTCACATTCAAATACATCATAATACTATAAATCAATATAATAATAACTCAATGTTTATCGACTACCTTGATATCAACCTGAGTTTGTACCAAAATGACCGCATAATTACAAACATAACTCATAACAACAAGGACAGTCATGTCTTTCAAATCAAACAACTCGCACACATTAAAGCGCATATACTTTCTCATAGACACTATAGTCCGCAACTGTCGGTAATAGGGGTCGACATCCCTATCCATAACCTGGGGTTGACTGTCCCCTACAGACATGCACTTCTCCGCCTGTTTACAGAGGGCTGTCATCGCGTTGATTATCATCTGAGATGAATGACAGGCCGACCAGATGTCCAGTATTGATAGGATGGCATACATGGTGACTGCGATGAGGTTCTGTAGGCCGAGCTCTACCACCGCTAGAGTGCACAGACAGGCGGAGATCAGCACTGAATTGGCGGCTATTTTGACAAACATTATCCGTCCGATCGATCCGTTCATGGAGTCCACGGCTGCCGTCAAATCCATTATAGTCTGACACATGTGTGGCACTTGTTTGCCGTGATTTATAGCCAGGTACGAGTACAAATTGTTGACGTAGTAATAGTGTCTCGTGGCCCACACGTTGAACTCGGTCCATGAGTCATCAGTGACAATTTCGGGATAATCATCAGGGTCAAACTTAGACGCTCCGTACAGAAACACTTGCATTATGATGAAGCCAATGTCGACAAATCTATTTGTGTTTTATGTGAAAGACAAATGTCTTATTCAAATAGTTAGCTTGGTGACTTTAATATAATTTTTATACATAGTATGTATTACATACCTAAGCGCATCGTACTCATTGAATGTAAAAATATGATCGCCATTCTTAACTTTATCGGTATCAAGGTGGAAATTGAGATATTTCATGTACCATGAATTGTGCATCACAACCAATTTCTCCGAAAGTACCTTGTTCATTCGGGCGCGCAAGTCATTAAAGCATGGATCCAAAAAGTCGGTGCCAAACGAGTGGCCAGCCGTTATTTTTTGCTCCCATATTCCTAATGGTTACAATTCGTTTAGTTCGATATAAGTATACATATAATTAATTTACTAGTACAGTAAAAGCTGGTTAACTAATTTTTCTTATGATCAAAAATAAGTATCTAGTAGCAATTTAATATAAATAAAATAATCGAATTTTAATTTTTAAAATTAAATTACAGCCGAAATTGAGGTTTTATATGTGATCTATATTTAATACCTATTGAAAATATATATAATTCTGCATTAAAATAGATTCATTTATGGCTTTTTAAATCCAATTCGTATAGTATGAGTAGTTGATTAAAATATTTTGCTAGATTATCGGACCTAGATATTATTATTATACAGTGCTAAATGACTTTAAATAAAACTGTTTTAATCGCAATATGCAAGAACATTTCTTGGTAATGCATTGTAAACACATTTTATTATAAGGTTATAACTATAAATATTAATACTCAAAAAGATTTCATGAAAATACTTACAAACTTACTAGTTAATCTCAACAAATTAAGATTTAGACCCTTACCATAATATTAAGAGATATAGTGGCCATACATATGATAAATAAAACTAAAACAGATATACCATACATACCGCACCCAATACTGCAGCTTAGTTGTTTGGCTCTCAACGAAGTCATCCAGGTGAAACGTGAACACCATCCACATGAGAAGTGCCATTAAATCATCCTGGTGCCTCATATTGGGGAAGCAAAATATCGTGAAGCCAACCAAGTCTTGATAATCCCTATATGGCGCGCCTTTCATGTCACTGACCAGGGTCTCCATGAGTACCTTGGCGTCTGGCACGTACTGGTTAGAGTCGACCCGTTCCACGTGTAGGCCCCTAATCTCAAAGACTAGTATTTGATCGTTTTTATCGTCGCGGCGATAAATGAGCTCGGTGTTTTTACAATCTGCCATGGTATGTTGCTCGCTTATTTGCTATACGGTATAATATTTAGTTTATACCTAAAGTTCTAAACTATATACACATTTTGCAAACTAGCGTGTTAGAATACAATGCAACAAGGTCATTTATAAATATTATTTAACACTTGTTACTAGTTGATTTTGTTTGACATTCATTAGTAAATAAATTATTAACAAATATTAGTAAGTATTAACAAATTATTAGTAATTTTATTATTATATTTATTGTCAACAAGCACAATAGTCCTTGATAACATGTTAAATATTAAAATTTTAATAATTTTGTGTTGACATTTATTCATAATACACAACACCTGGATGCATATTATAATTAATTTAACATTTTATATTTAAATTAAAGTTATATTTAGCATTGTATTTAATTCGAACTTTATTTTTATCTGTTCATAATAAAAATTAAAAACTATGAATCTTTAAAAACAATATTATTACTATGTTTTAATTTAACTTAAATTTTAAAATAATTAATAAACAGTTTACATTATTAGTTTTAATTACAAAATATTTTTACATTTATATAAATAAAATTAAACAATATTGATGAGACAAATTATAAAATTAAAATAGTTATTATACCATGAAACAATATTGTTAATACTATTTTATTTTCCAACTTAAATTTATTAATTAAATCAATTGATATTATTATGTTATTTGCTTGGTTATCAACAAAGTACTGCCAAGATCATTTATTTAAGTTGGCCATATAAGTACAGTAGTAGTAGGGTAGATATTTTTTAAAATACAAAAAATTAATAGCTTGTTTAAATACCAAAATCATCCTTTACAATTTGTTTATATTTAATGTACATTTGCTAGATATATTTCACTATTATTTCAATGATAATATTAAAATTCATACTAATTAGTAAATTTAAATAAATAAATTGAAATTTCAGTATCAACATCCAATCCCCGCAATATCAGTTTTATTTCATAAATATGTTAGCTTTGCTTACCGAATATTATCCCGATATTTATTTATGACAAAATTATGATGAGCAAAAGTAAATCAAATTTAATCATCAAGCTATCATTCACTATCATTATTAAAAATAAATTATAAAATTTATATAACAATTACTTATATTGTATTAA